TGTCTTGAAATTTGCAGGGTGTTTAGTCGGATTTGTAACATAGAATGCAGCAAGTATGGACGGGAGATTCATATCGCCTATATTCATTTTTAGATTTAAAAAAAAAATTCTGATGAGAACACACACAAGAGATTAACCCTATAAGGCACATTTTGTATATTTTTATATTTTTCTAGAGAATAAGTGTATGAAAACATGTCTTTTTTTTATTTTTATAAAATTGATCTTAGTAATTATAAATATATGGGTAAGTTTCCATTTTTTTACCTGTGACTAAGAAATATTGCTGAAATACAATTTCTCAGACTACAGCGGAATTGTAAAGAATTTCATTTTTATAAAAAACTATTTTGTGATAAAAGGTTTGAAAAAAGTCTAATTAAAAATCAGCTTCTGGTAGTTAGTAAGAAAAATAGGGGTGAATTACTTAAATAATAAAATTAAAATATTAATAAAATAGCAGATGGGTCAAAATTAGAACATTCCCAATAATGTAATTTATTTTTATTTTAATTCTCAAATTAAAATTTACAATTTTTTTATATTAAGCATTGGCATATTTTAAGAAAGATATATAATGATCAGCCACAACATTAAAACCACAAGGTATCCCTTGTGCTGCCAAAACAGCTCTGATGTGTTGAGAAATGGGCTCCACAATACCTCTGAATGTGTGCTGTTTTCTAAAGGGCTGTATAGGATAGCAACAAGTAACACTAGCAAATATATATATGCCTAATGAAAAACAAAACTTTTTTGGTCTAGTTAGTATTAAACAAACTCAGTAAGTTTGCTGAGGGGATTATTATACTTGGGGGAGATTTGAATGTAGCTATAAATCCTTTAATAGATACATACATCTACAGGATCCTCTACACGTCAATACTCTAAGATTAAACAAATGAAAGAAGACCTACATAATTTACAGCAGATTGGTGTCGGGAGAGTAACAAACCCAAAAGTAAAAGGTTATATATATATATATTACTCATACTCGCATAAGCGATACTCTAGAATAGATTATTTCTTTTTGACTCATAGATTTCTACACTTAATAAATAAAGCAGAAATAGGAGTTAAAACTTGGAGTGATCATTCCCCTATAATTTTAAATAAATAAATAATTTAAATATTACCCCCCCTAAAGAAAAGAATTATGTAATTGGAGGTTTAATAAAACCTTGTTCAAAACTAATGAATCAATAAAAAAAATTTAAAACTATAATTTCACAATATGTTATTGAAAATAATAACCCTGAAATCTCAATCCCAATGATATGGGAGGTTCATAAAGCAGTCATCAGAGGCCAATTTATAAACTGGGGGGCATATTTAAAGAAGAAAAGATCAGCATAATCTACAAGATTAATAGAAGAAATTAATAAATTAGAAATTACTCACAAATTTAATACTACTACTGAAATAAATCAAAAACTAATAAAATTAAAATCTGTACTGGCTAAAATAGTAAAATCAATATTACAAAAAAATTATATGAAAACAAAGAGTCAGAATTATGAACATGGCTAGTAAGATTTAAGATGGAGCCCTAAGAGATAAACATAGCCAAAATTATATTAAAAAAAAATTAAAAAGGGAGACAAGGTATTTAATCTAACCGAGCAGATAGTGGAAACATTTGCCCTATATTATTTTGACCTGTATACAGTAATATAACAGAAAATAAAAAATAAATATAAAAAAAGGAAAATAAAAATATCTACACATATCTTGTAGATCATCTTAACATAAGATTGGAGGAAGAAACATTAAATAAGCTTGATGGCTCTACCTGAGGTTTATAATGTTATAAATAAAATCTCCTAGAGGTAAAAGCACAGGACCTGACGGATTGAGAACAGTTTATTATAAGACCTTCTTGGATGACCTAGGCCGACATCTGGTTCAGTTATTTAATTCTTTAATTAAGGGATTTAATTTAATAACACAAACACAAGAAGCACACTTGATAGTTATACTTAAACCAGGGAAGGACGTAGAAATATGCTCTAACTACAGACCAATATCGTTACTTAAAGGCGATATAAAGAACTTAGCAAAAATATTAAGCAATAGAATAAAAACCATCTTGCCTACTTTAATTGAAACTGACCAGGTAGGCTTTGCACCAAATAGGGAAGTGAGAGACACAACTACTAGAGCCCTGAGCTTGATGTATGAGTCTAAGAGAGGGGGTACCCCTGTTTTGACACTGTCTACAGATGCAGAGAATGCATTTGACAGGGTGAATTAGTAATTTCTATTTAAGGTGCTGGAACATGTGGGTTTTGGCACCTCTATGATGGGGTGGATTAAGGCTTTATACCATACATCAACAGCAATGGTTAGTATTAATGGATTTTTTGTCCAGACCATTTCCCTGTCAAATGGAACAAGACAGGGATGCCCTCTTTCCCCGGTGCTTTTAGCAAGGAACTTTTAGCTGGAACCTTCTCATAATGCCATATGGAACAACCCCAATTAACTTGGTCTAACTGTTGGTTAAAAACAATATAACATTTTGGCATATGCAGACGATTTGCTACTCTATGTAACTAATTCTCAAGTCTCTCTGCCCAATATAATGAAGGAACTAGTCAATTATGGAAGAATTTCTAATTATAAAGTGCAGAGGTGTGCAGCAGGAAGGCGCTGGTGGGTCTCTGCCTTCTCCTCCGCGGCTGGCCGAGTCCTGGCTTTCAGAGCGTTGCAGTGGTAAGCACGGCAACGCTCGATTACACAGGGTGCCAGGACTCACATGAAGAGCCTTCACCCGGCAGAGGTGAAGGCAGAGAGCATCTGCAGCACCACCAGACCACCATACAATATGTTGGCCCCTCCCTATATGCTGATAGGAAACAGGGAGGGGGAGATATACTAAATAAAAAGAAAATTTAAATTACATTAACAAAATAAATATTGAAAAAAAAGATGCTCCCTTTTCAGCCCTCCCCCCCCAGTAAGCACATCCCAGAATCAGTGCTCTTCAGTAACCAGGACATATAGGATTAGAGAGGAATTGTTAAATCAAAGCAGATATGCAATTTGGGATACTTCTCTTCTCAGACCTTGAATTAGTCTCAGTTCAAATTACATTCACGTTATATAGTTCTACTGCCTTACGCTGACACCTTGAGGGTAATCATACAGATAATAAATTGGTTATCCATGGTATTGAACTTTGCAATACGTGAGGTTTACAATATGTGAGATTTACCCGATAGAGAAGTCATAAATCCCAATGCAGGAGGTATGCACGTGTCAACTGCATCTTTACCTTCATAAAAGCTTTTGTCTGCAGGTTGAGCCCTTGGAGTGATGAAGCTGCACACGGCTTTAGAGGAGGTATGGCAAGACCAATGGATTTAATCTAAATAGCTTTGACTGTCAGTACAGTGGAGGGATCCTTGACTTGACCCCTGCCATTCTACTGGATAAAATTTATTTTTATATATCTGATTAATTTATAGAATATAAAGGGGGATATATTTAGCAAGAAATTAAGTGCAATGCATCCATCCAGTAGTGAAGGTGAATGACTATTCAATGAAGTGAGAATTGTCAGAATTCAAAGGGAAAGTAGACCAAACTGGAAGCCTAGTTGAGTTGAATACTTTTTTCTATCAATTTTTTTCCCCATTATTTTTCGGCTTTAAAACCATTGACAGGTGAAGTGAATAATTATATTGTTACAATGGCACCTGTCAAGGGGTGAGATTTATATGACAACAAGTGAACAGGTCAGTTCTTCACTGGCCAAATAATGATGGCTAGACGACTGGATAAGAGCTTCTCTAAACCGGCAGGTCTTGTAGCCCCTATATGGCAAGTACATAGCAACTTCACCCTCCTTCCTCCCCCATCCCCCACCACATACACACACAACAGGCAGTCAACCCCAGACATGCAACCCTACAAGCAGCATCCCCACAGACACACAATCCTTCAATCAGCCGTTTCTAGTACTGTCTCACTTATCATCCAACCACCTACCGGGTCACATAGTCACATTCACCATTCAATCATACCCCAAACTGGTCATATAAATGCATCCAAATGAATACTCAAACTTTGAATATATGTATATACACAGCATACACAGCGTACCCTGAGAGTCTGAAAATGTTGCTGGGATTGTGTACAAAAATATCTGTGCAGAATATGGGCTGGACTTGCATAAATCCAGATGGGAGTTACCAAGAAGGGTAGTTGAGAATGACAGGGCTAAGATCCTGTGGGACTTTCAGTTCCAGACAAACAAAAAAGTAGTGACCAACCAACCTGATCGTGGTTATAGACAAGGAGTGCAGTAGTAGTGGATATGGCAATGCCAAGTAACCAAAACATCAGGAAGAAGGAACCTGAGATGGTGGACACATACCAAGGACTGAAAGAGGAGCTGAAAAGCATGTGGAAAGTGGAGGCAGTAGTAGTCTTGCTGTAATGATAGAAATATGCTTTTGAATGTATATTTTGACTGCTCTGCTGCCTTTGCAAAATATATTTTGCTTCAAGAACCCTTGAGCAAATAAGTATAGTGTTAGATGAATGCTTGAATTAATGCGTTACTTACATTGTATCGTTCAACACAAAATTCTTTGTGCAAAATATAACCCTCTATAATTTTGCTTCATTGAAAGGATCCGTTAACTCATAGAAATGACACACACACATTTAGTATATGATCTGTCTCTTATTTCTACATTCAGATTATATTTTAGAATTCCTTACTTTGTGTATTGTGATGTCATACACGCAATTATTCCCCCGTAATGAACGGATGATAATAATAACAATAACCTCTGTTCAGTCTAGGGGCATAACAGTCCTCCAGAGATTCGTGGGAATTGCATTCCAGGGTGTACCCTGCCCCCATTTTAATGATGGCAGCAAAAAAAGTTGCTTTCCAGTACTTTAAATACCACTACTCTCAGGTAACACTAGAAGATGCATGTCCCCACTAGTGATGTCACGAACCGTTCGCGGCGAGCTCCGGTCAGCTGACACATCCCGGCCAATCTCCAGCAGACCCTCCCTCCCAGACCCTCCCACCTCCTGGACAGCATCCATGTTGAAGGCAGCTTCAACATGGATGCTGTCCAGGAGGTGAGAGGGTCTGGGAGGGAGGGTCTGCTGGAGATTGGCCAGAATGTGTCAGCTGACCGGAGCTCGCCGCAAACGGTTTGTGGCAAACCGCGGTTCGCGACATCTCTAGTCCCCACCTTAATCCCAACACCTCCCTACCACAGTCACTACTCACTACTATTTACCTCTACATTGCCCTAACACACTACAAGTGTTCCTCATTTTATGACCTACCTGATTTACAATGGCTCGCACTTACGACTAGCTCTCTAGCGTGTGGGTAAGTGCAAGCCGTCATGGGGATTAGAAGGATTCCCTGCTCTGCTGCGTTTGTCTATATCCAGGGAAATTTCCCCCAACATAGACATGCGCATCAGAGCAGGGAATCCCTTAATTCTATGTTCGGGGAAATTTCCCCAAACATAGACGAATGCACCGGAGCAGGGAATCTCTCATCTCCTAACTTTCCGACCAATTCGTTCTATGACCGGGTGGTAAGAACGGAACCCGGTCAGTAAGTGAGGAGCACCTGTACACAAAAACCCCTACATTATCTTAATGCATGGATAGGCAACCTTTGGCTCCAGATGTTGTGGACTACGTCTCCTATAATGTTCTCATAGCCATAATGCTGACAAAGCATCACTAAAGATGTAGTTCAGAACTTCTGGAGTGCTAAAGGTTGCTTACCCCTGCCCTAACGCATTATGCTTTCAATAAACAGTAACCCCTACACTACACTGCACATTAGTCTTTACACTACATAAACAATAAAAAAATATTCCTACAGCACCAAAACACTAATCTTTAATCCTCACACTACTTTAACACTAACCATAACTTAAAAACATGCAATATAAAGAAAACACAACGGTGAAGAATCTATTAGAAGAAAATAATGCTATCTTGAAGACATTGTGTCCTTAAGGGGTAAAAGGGCATCTTTCTTGACAAATACAACTTGATCTCAAATAATCGAGAATCCCATTTCATCTACAATTGTACTAGAAGAATTGCTTGCAAATGTCTAGATTTATTTAAAAATAAAGATTTAAAAATAGCCTTCCTCTTGTCGGTCAATTCAGTCTGTGTCAATTGGCACAGAGATAAGAAGGCAGTGCTTTGCATGTATGTTATCAGGAAATCCCTCCTCTGCGCATCTCTCTTGCTTGAATTCAGCCTGGGGAAAGCAATGTCGGCAATGGGAAGGAGGGAAGAGAGGCAAGCTCTGTGTGAGAGCAGCAGCATGGCGATAAACAGCCAGAATGATTTATTGCAGGAGCTTTGAAAAGGAAATCTGAGAATAGAGACAGAGAGCAAGCAAGTCTATGCTTCCCAAACAGGGGAGGGAAGGACAAGTGTAACATGACTGAAAGATGACTGATGCTCTTAGCAGGAGGCAAGGGACATGGAAATAAATTAAAATATGATCTTTAATAGTAATAAGGGAAGAAACACATAATTAGATACTATGAGTCAAGCCACATGGATCTGTCATCTGTCATGACAGGTTCACTTTAAACCAGCACCGTCATCGTCAGGAGGTCTGGTGGCTGGGGGCGGGGAGCAGGTCAAGGTGAGTTCTACTTAATTAAACCTGTTCCTCATGGGTGCAACTATCTTCCTTCTTCTTTCTCGGCGCCAGGAGCCGACATCAATGCATTGAGGTCTATGGAGGATCTTGCAAGACTGCGGGAATTTCCATAGGTAGAGCCAATTGCCTGCAGACGTCACTAATGACAGCTTGGAGATTGACACTTCTAGTCAGCAGTAGCTCCATCCAATGTCTAGAAGTATCAGGCATAGGAAATATACAGAAACAAAGTAGTACCTACTTTGTCTCGGTATATCTCTTGAATTGGTTGGATTTTCAGTGAAACTCCAACACAGTCATAATGAGTTTGCAGAAAGATTTCTTGGGGGAGAGGAGGGTGTGACAGTACTACTTCAACTATAGCATACACCTAAACTCTATTTCCCATTATCAGATTTTCTGAAAATATTTGTGTAGTCGTGATATGGGTTATCATAGAAATCACATTTCATGCCCAAATGACAGTGTAAAGTGGTAGACTGCTTTATTCCGTTTCTTGCACTTTTATAATAAGTAAACAATGCTTAATACTGCAATGAAAACATTAAAGGCCCCTGCAGTTTGGGCAATATTTGGCTGGATAATATATTATTATAGTAAAGTGCCACAGTTTGTTTGGTAAATGTTTTTATTCCATCCTTCTCAGTTTAAAAACAACTTCACATTGTTTACACGGTAAGGATGAAATTTGACTGGAACATAACGAGAAACCAAGGCAAGCCTTCGGCGAAATATGGCCTTATGTATGTTATATCCTTCCTTTCTTATTGACCCATTCCGAGCTACATAGAAAGAGAGACAAAGAGTTTGTGTTCCAAAGAGGCACTGCCCCTACTAAAAAGGGATATTTGAACTTGATGGAGTATTGGGGCCTTGCACAAAAACGCTTATTAAACCTTACAGCACTGGTTAGCAGTCTATTCTCAATACAATGTAGTAACTGTGACTATTTCCTTATGTTATAACCATCCCCTTAGCCATGTTCTTACCAATGCCCCTTTTACTTAGACTTCCTGATAGCCAACCACTGTTGAATTCCGGTGCACAACCTCCAATAAAAAATGGTCACAGTATGATTGATTCTATGTTAGTGATTTATTAATATGTACTGATTAATATAAAAACCCAATAGACAGACACAGAATATGATTATTAATGTAATGTTATTAATTTATGTTGCAGTAAACAATCCAAGTGTTTCTTAAATAAGCCTTCTTCGGCAAATGGACATTATTGTTTTAAGCCATGGATATCAATAACATACACATGCAGCAATGAAGCAGAAAATTGCATTTTGCAGTGAAATCAGAGCACAAGGAGTGTTGATGAAGCTTTGTAGATGGTTTGAAGGACAGGGTATTATTAATTGTCATGTTAAACCTCATAGATAAAATGACAGCATGTAAAGACGATGTCTGTAATAATGAAAATATACTTTGCTTCCTTAAACTTGTTTGAAAAACAAAGATGTCATAATCCCAAAATAGCCTTCAATGTGCTAAAACAGAGGAACAACATGTATTCATGTGATAAGGGGAAGATCACCCACATGAACACAGCGAGATGTGTATAGACACTTAAATAGCATGTACCGAATTCTCTTACTTTTAATTAATTGAACTACAGAGGACTTCAAAATTAAGAGAGATAACAAAGAAAGTTCCTTTCTGTTGTCCAGCCAGATGCACTAGGATAATAACAAAGATAAGTACTATACACTGTGCCAGTTACAGATTAATGGCGACCACATGCAGTCATTGATGGTAAAATATGGTGGCAGGCAGAGGTGGCAATTCACTTTAGAAGATAATTTTGATGGTTTGGGGTTGGGGGTGATATGGAAAACTCAAGTGTTCTTTGTACTATAGAAAAATGTTGCATCCCAGTCTCAGAAGGAACCTTATGATGAGGTATTGTGGCCAACAGTGATTGCACTAGGTGGTAAAGCAAAAGGGAATAATTAGAAAAATTAAGCATATGTCTATTAAAATGGAATGTTTACTAAGTATCTGAAGTGATTTTCAAAATCAGGAATTATTTTTGGACCTAAATTTGCAATTGTACAAAAAGCTATTCTCACATACATCCATAGTTTAGCTTCAGGCCCATTTGGTCAAGATAGAAATTCAGAAATTTTCAGTTAATTGGGACCCTAACACAACAGGACACCTGCACAATTACAATCACTTTTCCCATAGATGTGTGTGGGCACATGTAGTTGTGACGGACTCCAATGGGTAAATCCCTTGGGGATGAAAGGGGAAATTTGGCTGTGGCGAATGGGGGTGAAGAATATATCTATGAATGTTGTGGGAATACATAATGGAGTAGGAGAATGCAGGGAGGGCAGGTGAAAATCACGCTTTGTGAAATAGTTCCTAGGTGGTGTTTTGCAACCATGGCAAGCTTAGATATTCAGCATTTATCCGTTTATGCATGAAAATCCCTTTTTAATGGCTTGTTGACATGTGACGCTTTTGTAAACTAGCATGGGGGCGTGAAAAAAAGGAACACATTAAATAAAATACAATTGATTTGAATCCAGCTGTTTCACTTTCCTTTGATGTTCATTGCTTTTTTTTTTACACATATTTAGAATTCTTTGAATCTCATTTAACGCTTTTAAGTAGAGGCTCAGTATACAATTTTAATTAAGTATATCAATGTATATGTACTCTTTGCACAAAGCCAGGAATTCTTCTTCAACTTTGGAAGCATTTTCATATTTATATACAATAGTCATTAGTCAATTACCGATCCTAGCTTTTTATCACAACGCATAAAAAAATGTATAAAAGCAACACAAAAGTAAATATTATACATATTTGTATAGTAGGACGACGGTCAGATGTGCCTACATACACGTTTTGTTTAAATGGGATCGTGTTTACCAAAAGGGTTAAGGCAGAGATGCTCTTATATATTGAGTGACACCGAGCCTTGTGAGTAATTATTTATAAGTGCTGAATTTTAGAGAGTTTATATAGAAAAATTATTTAGATCATTTTTTTTTTGATGTTGACCTTCTATTAAGAGTGGTAGATGACGTGAAATTTTACATGAATTTATCAGTAATGTGATGTATGCTTACTGAATCACATTGTTAATATTTCATAATGGCTGCCTACATGATGTCCTTGGAGGGAGAAAGTCCTCCCTATCTTTCTGGGGGAACATAAGAGTTTACATACATGTCCTATGTGGTTTGTGTATCACATGCAGTATAAAATGATTCTGTATCTAAAAAGAGATGCCGATAAAGGGCCTTACACTATGATGCCATCACTCTGTTTGATCTGTTTTTTTGCAACTCATCTGGGTTTGATCTAAACTGTTACATTACTAATACCACTTAATGCTAAAGGGTCAAATAAAATAATCATGTACCATTCATAATGTAGCATAGAACAGCATCATGCTTAAATGAGCAGCAGATGTAGAACTGCAAGATACGGTGATTTGTAATAATTAAAATAGATT